GTTGGGAAGCAAGTTTTTTAAAAATTGGAAAGACTGAAAAGATTGATTCTATGATACTGCTCATGTATTTTGGAGGACTAATTCTGTTGGAGATATATTTTTTTTAAATTTCTCTCCATACCTTCTTATATGTTGAGGACACAATTGAGGGCAGATAACAATTTTGTACATTAAATGAGAAATATTTATAATACTGTGTTCAAAATAACATTTTTGTAAAAATAACAAAAAAGGTTTGGCACTTAAATTCTTCTTTTCACGCCCATATCTATATAAATGAAAATGTAAATGTCCGTTTGTACATAACTGCACATCTCCGAAAGTTCTTCACCGATTGCTTTCAAATTTTGACACAACGTTGCATTCGACCAAGGGCGTGTTTTTATATACCTATATTATATACATGTCACACCTGTGACAGGTAAAAACATGAAAAACATTGGAAAACATTGAAAGACATCGCCACCTGCTGGACGTAAAACCAACATGGCAGCCTCCCATCCCTGATTACGCTTAACAGATTTCTGCTCCTTATATTTAGACTCTCCATATTGCTTCCAAGAAACTGTGTATTTGGAAGGCAGAGACGCCCGAGGGCCATATCTTGCCACCAGGCTCAGCAGGTAGGCAGCCGGCTCCCCTCTGGGAAGCCCTCGCAGCCGGCACTTCTAGGGCTGGGCGGGGCCCTCCCGAGCCTGGCTCTGACCTCCCGCTCCCCCGGCCACCCCGCGAACTAGCCTCGCCCGCCGTTGCTGCCCATCCCCATTGCCAGCCGCTCTCAAGGCTCCCTCCAAAGAGCACCTGGCAACGAGGCTGCCTGGGTCCACCGAGCAGGAACCCTCCATCCCTCGCCTGGCCCAAATCATCCCTAGCCTAGCGCTACCACAGGCCCCGAGGTCAGAAAGACCAGCCGCTAACTGATGCTGTGCGAATCCGCTTTCTTCCTTCAGGCGGGAAGCCCCAAACCAGCCTCGAACCCCCGCCGCACCCTCTCCCTCCCTCCCTTCCCTTCCCTTTCCTGTTATGCGTCTCCCCATCGAGCCCCCAGAGAACATCTGTGTAGGGAGGATGGAGGGGGCCCCTGAGTTTCTGCTGTGGTGCGGAGAGCTGCGAAGGCCTGGCCTGAAAAGGTAAGGGTGATGGCGGGGGATGCAGAAGAGGCCGGGCCAGAGACAGAGATAAACGGAGAGAGAGACATAGAGAAATACAGAGAGACGGGGGGGAAGAGAGAGACACAGAGATATAGAGAGAGAGAGTGGGAGAGAGAGAGACAGAGAGAGATAGAGGGGGGGAGAGAGACAGAGATACGGGGGGGAGAGAGACATAGAGAGATACAGGGGGGGAGAGACAGCTACAGAGAGGGGGGAGAGAGACACAGAGATACAGAGGGGGGAGAGAGACATAGATACAGAGGGGGGAGAGAGAGACAGAGGGGAAGAGAGACATACAGAGGAGGAGAGAAGAGACACATAGAGTGATACAGGGGGGAGAGAGAGAGACAGAGATACAGACGGGGAGAGAGAGAGAGACATAGAGAGATACAAAGAGAGAGGGGGAGACAGAGAGGGAGGATTTTGTGGTTCCCATTGTTTTTTAGCAACTGGTTCTCTACCCTAATCACTAGCTGCGTAGGCATGGCTCGGGGGCTGTCATGTGACTGATGAAAGTGAGTGACGTCGAGTTAGCCACGCCCACCAAATGTTTGTGAAGAGTTTGGAATTTCAGCCTCGCTCTTTTAGCCCAGCGGAAGCACCAGACTGGGCCACAGCAACGCATGGCCGGGTACAGCTAGTATATAATATTCTTGTATCAGACTATGCACCTGGTATCTAGTGAAATAAACTGTGGTCCTTGAAAGTCTATTTATTCATGAAAAATGAGTTTTTAAAGTGTCACAAAGCACTTTGCTCTTTCCACAAGAGATTGATGTGGTTACCATCTAAGCTTTTCTGCTAGTGTACTGATCAACTAAATTATTAAATATATCTCTATTTCCATTTTAACCAGAGTTTCTTCCTAGAACTTTATCAATACATAGGAGATAGAAATAGACCTAACTGTGTTCTAGATATAAATAGATGTAGTTTCTAAATATATTGAATGGGCACAAGAAATAAATAAAAATAGTTTGTATTCTGATGTAAACAGAATGAATAAAGACACATTATTTGCTATATGAGTTTGATAATCTGAGTAATCAACCTTTGATCAATCAAATCAGGAATGTGAATTTAACGAGTATGGCAATTTTCATGGGATGGGAATGGGAGCAGCACTTTATTAAACAACATCTCTAATGTCTCAGTTTTGACTAAAGTGAATAGCATAGAGACTGTGAATAGCAAATAAAAAGAATAATATAAATTAATATCATCAATTCCAATTAATGTTGTCATTTTCCTATGAGAATCCATGTAGATCATATTTGGGTGGCATTTTCATTTTTTGAAGGAGGACCTTGAAAAACATTCAATATTCTCAGTGGAGGAGGCACGTTAAAATGTTTAAAAGCCATATAGATATGTGAATATGTGAAATTTTCTTCCACATATGAGCCAAATCTAAGAAATATATTACTAATTTTACCAGTATGATCCAGAGGTGTTCTCAGAACTACCAAAATATTTACTGTAGGATTATTGTAATTGATCTGGAAAATGTACCTACCGTAAATTTATAGGATTGATACATATTTTACTTTTGGATGGATTTGGCTTCACCAGTGGCAACTTAAAGCAACACTTTCTCCAGTGTTTCAACACCTGTTCTGGAGAAGAGAGAATAAAGACTGGAGTTTCCAGTAGAGGGCACTCTTACTAAGCACATCCAGCTAAGCACAGAGATCTTGTGTTTTGTCACTGAACTGCTGACTTAACTCCTGAATTTCTTCCAGAAAGATAAAGCAACACAAATGCATAAAATAATTTACAGTTCAGTTAATGCCAAACAGTGCTTTCCCAGAGAATATTCTGTGTAGAAGAAAAGAACTTGTGGCAAAAGTGTGAATTAAAAACTATTTTCAAAGTCATCGAATGAAAAATAATCTTTCTTCCTTAAGCGTGGTGGTGTCAGACATGGACTCTGGGAGAGGTTTGGAAGGCTCAGGTGGGATTTATGTGACATAAACAAGAGGAAACATTTAGAACTTTTAAAGTATTGATATAAGAGAACACCTTTAAGTAGGTGTGGCAACATTCGGACAAAGTTTCTCTGCATAAAGCATGAATAGATGCCAAGGGGCAAAAAAGAATCTAGTTTCATAATTTTCTTTGATATGTTTATCTCACAGCATCAGTTTATCCATGGCAAGACAATCACATGTTCCTTTGTCCTTGCATGCAATTGTAAGGTGTGTTGAGCAGTTCTGGGCTTGGCAGTTGTCAAAGGAGAAAAGCCACTGTTATTTCTCCTCTGTGGATATTAAGATATGTTGCCTGACCTCTCAAGATCATAGAGTACTCAGTGGGGCTGGGTGCACACTTCAAATATGACTTAGACCCCACAGGAATCAAGCACATTTCTCCTATTAAAATATCTCTTTTTTTCTCACAAGCCTGAAAAAACAGTGCAGCTTCTATAAAAGTTGTGTTAATATCCTTAAAGTAGCTGTATGTTTTATTCAGGTGCAGAAGACTTGAAAAAAAGCAAAAGTATCCAGAGTTTTTGTGAATTCTGCATAGCATAGCAATTTTATCCCTTGAAATCTGTTGCCTCTTCTTATACAGGTAGTCCTCGAGTTACGACCACAATTGAGCCCATAATTTATGTTACTAAGTGAAACATTTGTTAAGTGAGTTTGCTCCATTTTACGACTTTTCTTGCCACAGTTGTTAAGTGAATCCTTGCATTTGTTAAGTTAATAACATGGTTGTTAAGTGAATCTGGCTTCACTTAACTTTCTTTGTCAGAAGGTTGCAAAAGCTGATCACATGACCTTGAAGACTGCAGCTATTATTTATTTATTAAATTATTAAATTTATATGCCGCCCCTCTCCGGAGACTCAGGGCGGCTATTATAAATATGAACCAGTTGCCAAGCATCTGAATTTTGATCATGTGACCATAGGGCTGCCACAATGGTTGTAAGTATGACAAACATTCATAAGTCACTTCTTTCAGAGCCGTTGTAACTTTGAACGGTCCCTAAATGAACTGTTGTAAGTCGAGGACTACATGTACGGTAAGAGGAAAATGCAGTCTTTTGTGAATTACTTCTCTCGCTTGGCATATAAATCAGACTGATAAAATTCTTGAGAGCTAAAATATTTTATTTGTGACTGTTTAAATCATTGATTATTAAATATATACTAATATATTTCCTTGCCCCGGATCCTCTCCATGAACTCAAATTGCTATAATAAAGTATTTTAATGAAAGAGACATTTTGAGTTTTTAGTTGTTTTGGAAAAATAGCTGCAAATATTGTGTGCTCTAAAATATATTGTTTTTTGTTATAATATCAAATATTGGATTATTGCTTATGTAAGCACCAAATGCTTAGATGAGGTTCTTAGTAAATTAAAGTTTAGTCAGTATTCTGCAGCATTTCAGCTTACACATAAATCGCAGTATGACTTAATATTTAGTACTTATCTTCTGAGCACACTGCTGCCTTAAAATCTAAGATAATACAATTGTCTTTGTTGATCCTGGACCTGCCAGCAATAGTTTCAGAATAAAGATCAACTTAGTTTTCCTTTCATATTAATTTCTCATTCACTTATAAAAAGAATTACAAAAAAAATATGAACATTCTTAGGAAATGATTAAAAAGCAGTGGTTCTTGTGAGCTATGTATGAATGAGAATGTAATACTATATAATAGTTAATACTTAATAAAATATTAAAATATTTTAATCTTTATTAAACACGTAAAAAAGTAATATAGATTACTGAAAGATTTTTAAAACCAAATCTGATCATGTTAGATTTTTTTTTGTCTATGAATAACATCAGATTTAAAATGAAATAAAAATTGTTTCTTATTATTTATTTATTAGCAGGTTGGACTTTAGAATACACATCTTTGAAATCTTTTACATATCCAATGCCTGAGACGAGGTTTTTTCATGCTGGTGTGAATGTATACAAATTTAAGATCAAATATGGCAATACAATTAGGTAAGTGTGATAGTTCTATTAATCTAAAATTCTTCAAATTTGTCAGTCACAAAGCAAAAATAAAATATTGTTTCAGAACATTAAAAAGGACAAATTAAATCTGTAAAATTCAAGAATTACATTTGAAATAATAGGATACAAATTTAGGCTCTTCAATAAGGATGAAGAGAATAGGTATAACTGGAAATCTTTAATTTCAGTTTTGTTTCTGAACTATATAGCACTAGGTAAATTATCCTTTCAGTCTCATTCCTCCATCTGTGATATGGGATAATTACATTTGCTTGCCATATAGAGTGCTGTAAGACTTACTGAAATAATATAAGTGCAGATATTTAGCAATAGGGTTTTCATACTTTTATTGCCCAGATGGCGCTTGCAAGAAATATAGAGAAGTATAACTTTACAACACATATATTATCCTACTTAGCCAGCACTCTACCTAATTCTGAGTGTACATTTTTTAATGTGGCCAACAATTTTTTCATCCAAAATTTATCTAGAATAAATAATAGACTAATGTAAATCAAAAAGGGGGAAACTTCTAATTAACTTCCTTGAGTTTATGCTGGAAGAAAAACAATGAATTAATTAATTTATAATTATGAATTATGCATTAATGCATAAACAGCCATGTAACTGTAGCAACAAATGTGCATTATAGATATACCCAAAGAGAACTTTGGATCTTTAGTCTGAACTAAGGACAATTTGAATACTTGTTCAATTTCTCTTGATTTCTGCAGTTACCTTCTATTACATTTTTTCACAGCATTAATACTGACCTTGATGAAAACATTATCAGTAAGGAGATACAGGTGAGATATGAAATAAATATTTGTTTAAATCAAAGTTTCAGGTAGTGAATCTGGAATTTAGATTTAATCCTTTTTGCTTTGGGAAATCAGTAGAGGTTAGTTTTATTCAAATCATGATGATTCTTAAAGTTTATACTTGTTTGGGAGTTAATTGGGAAGAGTTACCCAAAAAATGATTCTGTAATCCATGGAACCTACTGCAGAATTTCTTGATATGGGCACTGACACAATGACTATATTTGCATCTTATTTTCTGCTATTTTTTTTTTTTTTGAATAGCTATTTGTTTTGTTTTTAAATAAATGTTCATAACTTACAAATAACTCTTGGAAATACCTATGTCAAGCCAGGTATGGTATGCAAATGCTGCATTAATATCTCTTAATTATTGTCTTATTAATCAAGATCCAAGTAGATTTAATGTTTCACTATAGTTTTTGGCAAAATAAGTTACCTATTTCAGATAAATATTTAGTATGTTCAGAGAGGTATTAGTATGGTCCATATGTAGTATGAGAGGTATCTAATATATAGTATGTTACCAATTTTACAGAGGTATCTAGTATGTTCAGAATTCAGACAAGTATCTAGTTTGTTGAAGTTTTTTACTCTTTGTTAGTGTTAAGAGTATCCTTCTGTTTTTGGAGGAAGGAGGAAGAAAGATGATCTGTGGGCAATTATTAGATTTAAACTAAAGTGTAAGAACAATTTTATAGGACCCTCTAGCTAGACACATCCCTGTTTAATTATCATAAATTTACAAGTACTAACAATGTTTCACATGTCTCTTTAAATCTTTCAGGATGCCATTCGAGTAGTACTTGGAAACCTTGATAGTTTATGCCCTTTTACAACTGAACACTTCATCATATTTCCATGTATCCTTTTATTATGTGCAATAATTTGAATATGGGATTTGTACAACCAGTCTGACACCAGGACTACATATGTGACTCTTCCCACATCACAGAGGGGAAAAGTCAGAAAACCCTTGATGGTATTGTCAAGGTACTCAGTACTAGGAATGCTAACAGTTTTAATCCAGAAAACCTGGAAACATTGCACATTTCTGTGATGACATATTATAGTAGTTACATTGGGAACAAAGATAAATAATAACATCAACAGATAAAAGAGTTATTTGTCTCAGCAAGCAATCAACATCAACAAGACATATCAGAGTACAGAGAAGGAAAAAGAAATTCTACAACAATGTAGAATTTAGTTGAGAAAAAGAATAAGCTTTGGCCAAATGGAATATAATTTGAAATATGATCAGTGTAAATATGATCAGTTTAAAGACATGTAGCCCTTTTAATAGGTAATAAAGTATTTTTATAATAGAGAAGGAATATAGTTTTCTGGTTTGAAGTATTCATGACAATTTTTTAAAAATTTTAAGTTTGAGTTAAGGTAAAAATATCGTGAAAATGATATTCAGATGCCATTAAAACTATCTCCTACGGTCACTGAAGTTATCTAAAAATGCCAACTTTCTATCTATTCAGAATTTCTTCATAATTTCTCCTTTGTTCCACAAATACTTTCTTCCCCTGTATATCCTCATTATATTGTCTAAGCCCCTTCCCTAATCCATATTTGAGGCATCTTAAAGTCATCGTTTGCTATTCCTGTTTAACAGTGGTATTTTTCCTCTCCTGTGGATATTTTGTTCTATGGCTGGCACCCTTCTCTGTACGTTTGTTTGCTATGTGGCCTAGGGTTGGGATTCCCCCAGGTCCTGAGGTCTAATTTAAGCTATTTGGAGCATGACCTCTTCCATCTAGTCTACGGGTGCTTCTCTTCATAATCATTTTGGCTTGGTTTTCAGGGAAGACTGGCGGCATCTGCCTGCATAATATCTGAATGGTATTTTCCATAGTAATTGTTTGATATTTCACAAAGAATGCTAGATTTTTTAAAATGAGATTAGTACTCTTTTGAAAGAGAACTAGTCCTGTATTATACATAAGTTATAAATAAACTGGAAAGAAAATGCTGTTTGAAACATCCATCCTTAGTCAGGCCATCACGCCCATTCCATGTTAAGAAGAGTGACACTTTGATGCTTATTAATAAATAAACAGGTATTTTTTTTTATAAAATAATCTTTATTAAATATTTACAATAAAATTAACACACAATAATGGTTGAAAAGCAATATAGGAAGCGAAATATAGAAACACATAAACACAGGACTAAAACCAAACAACAAACATGACTAACCGAGACTTAAGCTCACTCTCCATTTAATATTAACTAATATCATCCTAGCCAAACATTTCAATGCAATCAAGTTCTTTTTACTAACCACAAAACAATTGTCTGTTTTTATCAAAATTATAAAGAGTTATTGTTGTGTCTTGGGATCGGCTTGGCTGTGCTTCCGGGTTGCAGCGGCCCCAGCTGGTGGTTCTTTGATCCTACCAATAGGTGGCCGGGGTTTTAGGTCCAATCAGCTTTGTTGGTCAATTACTCCACCCAGTGGCCAGCCTGTAGCAGCAGCCTTAACAATATATATTCTTGGTCTATTCCTGGTTAAGTAAGCTTGTTCTAGCCTTTTTTCTACTTGCTTTTAACATGGAATAAAGAGAGTTGAAGTCACTTGGAGTTGCCTGGCTCATTGGAACCCACTACATTTCAGTTATAAAGCCTAGTAAATAGCTAGTTAATCTAATTAGACAATCTTATCACCCTTCTCCTAAGTTTAACCTTCTTTTGAGCCAAACAAAACATCTGTCCCAACTTCTATTATATACTGAATCTTTCTTGTCTTTTGAGATATACGTTAGCCTGTCCATCTCAGCACATTGAAGAATCTTGTTTATTATCAGATGGTCAGGGGGCATGTCTGCATCTTTCCACAGTTGAGCAAATGCCATTCTCGCCGCTGTTGAGACATGGACAAATATATAGCAATCTTTCTTATCGATGTAGTCCGGTCTTATTCCGAGTAAGTAGAGGTCTGGGTGAAGAGGGAAGCTCACACCTGTTATTTCCAACAGCCACTGCTATATTTTCCCCCAATAGCGTCTAGCTGACAGATAAATCCACCACTGATGGAAGAAAGTACCCTTGGCCGACCCACATTTCCATCTATCAGAAGATCCTGGGAACATCTTAGCGATTCTGGCGGGGGGGAGGTACCAACGGTAGATCATTTTATAAAAGTTTTCTTTGAACGTGGAAGAAAGGGTCAGTTTCATAGTTTTGTTCCATGCATTTTGCCATGCATCAAGCTGAATTGTTGTTCCAATATTTCTCCCCCAACCAATCATCGTGTCCTTTACAATCTCATCTGCCATAAAATTGGACAGAAGAAGATTGTAAACGTTGGAAATAAATTTCCTTCGGCCACCTAGGAGAAGCTTGTCAAACATTTGTAAATGAAGGGAAACACCATAAAATACTGCATAATATCTGAATGGTATTTTCCATAGTAATTGTTTGATATTTCACAAAGAATGCTAGATTTTTTAAAATGAGATTAGTACTTTTTTGAAAGAGAACTAGTCCTGTATTATACATAAGTTATAAATAAACTGGAAAGAAAATGCTGTTTGAAACATCCATCCTGAGTCCGGCCATCATGCCCATTCCATGTTGAAGAAGAGTGACACTTTGATGCTTATTAATAAATAAACAGGTGTTTTTGTTAGTATGACAGAACAGCAGTTGACAGTAAGTTAATATTATTAATTAGCTTATTTTGAAATAGCATTTCACCTCAGCTGTGAGAAAGGGCCCTAAATGTTGCTTCTGCGGTAGCAATAACCTTGACTTTCTTTCCTAATTTGTTCTCTCCCCATCCCTAACTGTTATACCAGAATTAACTACTAGTAACACTGACTTGAAAAACAAGCTCCAAAAGTTGTAGTACTTGGTGCTTCCAATCACCAGTGGAATGAGATAACAGGAATAGTGTTGAAAGAGTGGAAACTAGAAATAAAACTTGCTTACACGATGTATTCATCAGTTAAAAAATTAAAATGCGTCATTCTTCAATTACTTCTCTAAATTACCAACATAGCAGATTCTGGGGTTTTTTTAGTTACCTGAAATACTCTTACAGCAAATACCAGATGGGCTTCAGTAGTTTTTGTAAAGCAGAATAATGAGGACATGCAAATATTAATTTTCTGTCTACTTTATATTAATGGTAGGCACTGTCGTTTTATTTTTGCTACCACAGGGCAAAATAACTGGTATATTTTGCTACGAGTTGAATATAGAATACTAACAATAATTGTATGCTTTTCATATTATTCCTTTTCCTGACTGTATTGCATCTTAAGAATGCTGTTCAGATTTAAATAAGTGGGAAAGAGTGTCAGATTTGAGGTTTATGCATGGTGATGAATTTCTTACTCCCTATCCATTTGTGTGCACTATTTATGTCGAATTAAATTCATGCAAGCAAAATAAATGTGAAGGTAAGTTCAAAGAGATTTTTAAAAATTGCCTCCAGCACATTTGATATTCCAGGACTATAAAAATGCTGAAGATTTATTTGTGTGAGAATAAGTAATGTTGTATATCATACTATTTTCTATGCATGTCAACTGAAAGTAAAATAACTTGTATTAACAATTCCTCTTTCTCATAGGACAGATTACAATCTCAAATCTGGGCTTTTCATCATAGCAAGACAATAAATTTCTACTGAAACTATCTTCTATTCTTAAGCCTGAAACAAGTTATTGAATCTGAATTTTGTGTCCTATCCTACCCAGTTCATTCTGTAGCCGATACGGGGAAAAAACAGAATCACACAGCAAATTAGTTCTTTAATCTCAAAACGTCAGTATTACAAAAGAGCGAGTGTTCTCAATATGAATACATAAATACATATTTGCATTTATTGCAATGGATTTCCCCAGAATAATTCAAGAAATTGCAGTTGATCATCCAACCCCCATTAATATTCTTTTGGCACCAGCATTTTTCATGATGCAAGATTTTTAAATCAAGATTCCAATATAATTAGTTATTTCACTCTATGATAACCTGTAGTATTTATGATTCATTTTATAATAAAATGAATTTTAGAGATTATTTTCTGGATTTGCAGGATATCTTAAACAATGAAGTATATAAAAATATGGGACAATTTAAAAAATCAATATAGAAATTTGATTCTGTGATATAAACACATATTTATTGAAACCTTTTCCCTCATATATATCCAAGACAAATTTTAGCTTGATAATATTCATATTCATCTGGATATGTTCTTAGAACTTAAAATGAAACTTAATTTTTAAGGAGTGCATTATGAATAAAAATTATTGAAATGTTCATTCATTTTTAAGGTATGAATATATTACCTTTTTTCTAGGGGGAGTCTATAAGAATATTTAGTAACAGTTTTTGTTCTTTATATTTTTGCAGCTCAAATGTGTGTCATATATTATGTATAAATTTGTAATCTATTACTGATTTTATCTTCAAGTATTATGTATATTTTAGGTGAAGGAGACTATAGGGATTTCTATAACTCCGTGAGTATTGCCTCCCAATGTTTGAAAAATAAGATGATTTAAGAAAAAGGTTATGAGTGCCCATTGGAATTCATATCTAAAGCTGTGGTGGTGCAGTGGTTAGAATGCAGTACTGTAGGCTACTTCTGCTGCCTGCCGGCTGCCTGCAATTTGGTAGTTCGAGTCTCACCAGGCTCAAAGTTGACTCAGCCTTCCATCCCTCCGAAGTCGGTAAAATGAGGACCCAGGCTGTTGGGGGCAATATGCTGACTCTGAGAGGGCTGTAAAGGACTGTGAAACAGTACATGAATCTAAATGCTATTGCTATTGTTAAATAAAAAGGGGAGAGGAAAGTGTTTATACATGTATCTAAATTATGACTGTGCTTAAAAATAAATTCACTACATCAGAGATGCTGCAAGTCTTAGGTGGATTCCCAAAATTGTCCACAACTTTCTGCCAAATTGTAACTATGGATAAAATTATAACTTTTATATGGCAGAAATAGATAATTGAATATATTGGAAATAAAGCAAATGAAGTTAATATGGTTATTTTATTAAGAAATATAACACATTATATTGAATCAAATTTAGTTTTATTCTGACTTCAGTTATTTTCTTGTTTGACATTAGCCATGATTGGAAATGTAGACTTCAAACCCTATTCAAATGCCAAATCTGTGTTTCAGACCAAAAGACCTTTGTTCCTTTTCAATTAAAAATGATAGTTATTTTTTGAAGCCTTACAAAATTAATGCCTGTAATTCTGTGTCTTGTTGCTCTTAAGTTATTGTTTGAACAACAATTCCTCAGTTCTAGACATTGTAAATTCAGAAAAAAGGAACATTTCAAATGTCATGCTCTATATGGCCACTTCATATGTAAATGGATTTATCTTTTGGTGGAACATGATCATATCATATCATTTCCACAGGAATATTGTAATTTCAAGGTAGTCATTTACATACAGATATTTTATTTGATTAATACCATGCATGTGATAAATCTCTGACACACACTTACTTTCTGATGTAACTCTTTTATATATTTGTCTTACTTTGATGTATATATTATTTGAACTGCTTCTAATAGACCTGCATTTTAGTTGCACATTGGGAATAAGCCCCATTGACCCTGTAATGTTCTGGGTTGAAAAGGATCCAAGGTAGGGTTTAGCTTATTCCTGGTTGATTCCAGAAAAGTTTTGTTTTCTTCAAAAACAAAAGATGGCCTGAGGATCAGTAGTAAAGAAATGTAGCCAGCTTGCAGAACATTCAGTGTGGGATTTCATTTAAAATACTAATAAAGAAAATTCTATTTAGTTCTTCAGATGACTGGATCTAATATATTGCTGAAGCCAAAATATTAACGCTCAAAAGATTTAAAGAGTAGAAGATGTGATTGCCTGTGAACAGAAAACAAACAATTTCCCTAACTGATTAAAGAAAAGAAGCTAAAATATTGTTTCACTAAGGGCTTGATTATAACTCTGAAAGTTGAAGTAGAGGAAATGTTAAAAATATTAACATAGTTTTGTGAAAAGATACATATAGTATTGAGAGCCAGTTTGGTGAATTGGTTAAGGTACCAGACTAGAAACTGTGAGACTCTTGAGTCTTGCCTTGAATACAAAGCCAGCTGGATACCATTGAGACAGTCACTTACTTTCAGCCTTAGGAATAAGGCAATGGCAAACCACTTCTGCAAAACCTTGCCAAGAAAACTGCGAAGATTTGTCCAGGCAGTCTCCAAGAATCAGACATGATTGAAGAAAATTTTGTTTATAGTATTAGTTAGAATGACAATAAAGAGCCGAATTAAAATGTTCTTAAATTCCTTTTTATTCTTTAAGAATGTATATTGTACTAAACAAATAACATCCACTAGGATGACATTCGTTATCTGCTAGCATAGAACTGTACAGGTGTTATTTTCTAAAATATACTTTATTTGTAATTAATACATTTGACAATATATTGCATTTTTAAAGACGAAAAAAAGAAATAAATTTAGAGAGAACATAGACATAGAAAGAGCTACCAAACAGAGAAGACTGGAAGAGATATTAGAAACTTCACATTCACAGCACTACATGAACAGGTTGGTAACATGCTTTTTGTCTTCTATTTGCTCTTGAAATGGTATTTAAAAGTCATAATAGATCTATTTAATGGCTATGCTAGGCTGCTAAACTAAAGCATCTTTAGGAACCTTGGTTCTCTAACCCTTAGAGTAAAGTAGTTGTAGGGAGTTAATAGATGTGGCTTAATTAAGTCAATCCCACATCAGAGTCTCAAACTTTAATGGAAGTATGAGGAATTGCTAACTCCAGGAGCAGTCCCAATTATTAATAGCGGGAAAGAATATTACCTCAGGTATCAGGAGTTGAAGAGGTTAATAAGTTTATTTCATCACATAAACACACCCCACTAATTCCCTTCTATAATGGTATGTGGAAAAGGCCTTGGACACTGGCCAAAAGATGCTGCCATGGCAATGGTTAGATAAGAGACAGCATACCCTGCATCTATATAGTAGGTGGGGCTGGAAGTTCAGAAGACACTCTGTACTATGACACACATTCAAATGCTTAATTTTAGACAGGAAATTCAGTGCATAATATAAATATTTTCGTCGTGGTTCAAAGGAAATAAAAAGATATTATTTTTTAAACCATTATACAAGAAATCAACAAAGTAGAATTCCACAATTCCTGACTCATTTTAGCAAAAAAAAAAAAAAAAAACAACTAAAATTGAAATCCCAGGATATCACATATCTTTAAAAAATCTACTCAAACAACTATTCATCAATATAGATTCAAGATTCGGTGTTAGATTCAAAATTCAAGATGAATTCAAGATGCATTCACTTCTTCCTGAAAATATTTATATATATAAATATTATATATATTATAGTATATATAGCCTATTAATAATATGGAATGCAGACAATAAAGTGAAAAGCTGAAAAGAAGTGTGAGAACCAGAACAAATGAAAACACCAATGTCTAATTTAAAGTAGCAAATTCATATTTAATGTACAGCAAAATGATAAACAGAAAGATCCTCAAGAATACAGTAAAGTGTCTTTTGAATGCTTAAAATGCACACTCGTGATGTGAACGTAGACTTAGTTTTCAGATAATTATCATAGAAGAAATATTGTTTTGCAAATTTTGATTTGGCAAATATGCATTTTATAAAAGGTATTCCAATGGATGCTTCTTATATTTGATCATTTTAAATGTATTTTTCAGAAATTTAGCTGAAAATGCAATTTTTATGAATACAAGCCAGCCGAATGCTGAATTTGGCAGGACAGCACTTCAAAAAGATATGATGTTTCCAGTGAAGGTATTGCAGAATAAATCCAGATTTGCTCTGTGAATATTGATATCTATAGAAATATCATCTTTCATCAGAAACTCATTTCTGCACTAGCAATTTCTAACATATTCTAGCCACTGTTTCTCCCCCTACATTTACACTGTAACCTTACTGAGAGTACATAATGAGATTTCATGAAGATACAGCCTGAGTAAAGGATTGCCTACAACTATATAGTGGTAGCAATAGCACTTACAGTATATACTGCCCAAAAATGCTTTACAGCACTCTCTGGGTGTTTACAATGTCAGCATTTACCCCAATAATCTGGGTTCTCATTTTACCAATCTTAGAAGGATGGAAGCTCAGTCAACCCTGAGCCCTATCAGGATCGAATTCCAGGCTGTGAGCAGAGTTAGCTTGCAATACTGCATTCTAACTATGGCTCCTATATGTTCTCGCTTCAGTCTTTTCTCTTTACATATGAATTCACATATTTTCCTTATTAGTCACAATTGCAATTTATACATAAACTTCTGTGAAAAACAGGCTGCAAAAAAGGGGATATAAGAACAATCTAAAATTGGGGTTGTATCCGTATTAGAGAAAAATAATAAAATATTTATTTTTTTTCCTCAGAATCAGTCAGAAGAAACCAAGTATTCCTGCTGTAGTTCTCTCATCTCTACCAATGGTTGTAATGTAAAGGCTTTAGGTAACTACAAAGATGCAGGACTGGCATAAACACTGGGAACTTATTTTAACTGAGTAACTGTCCCAATCTTAATTGTAATAATTAATGCTAAACCTTGTGAAAACCCTTATTTATAAAAACAAACATGGCATGGTGGTTTAGAGCAGCGGTCACCAATTGCTGGTCCATGGACCACTGGTGGTCCATGAGAAAATTTTGGTGGTCCACAGAAAAATTATTTGCATTTTTAATATTGCACTAAATCAGGGGTCCTCAAACTACAGCCCCTGGGATGGATATGTGCAATGAACGTTTGAGTTGCTGCAGAGTCTCCCTCTTTGGGGTCTTTTTGTGTGGGTTTGAGGGGGGCAGAAATTCTGACTTGGGGTCTGCTTCAGCCTCCTGGTTTGGGGCTTTGGGCGAAGGCTGGAGGGAAGCGTCACTGGTGGCGAAGAGCCGGAGGGCCTTGTTCCAGTGGGAGTGCATCATGGCCTGGAACTGGCTGACGATCTCAGCCCACTGAGCCTACAGGCGCTGGTACCTGGCCTTGCACTCCCGCAGATCTTCCCTATGCTTGGAAAGCCTATGCTTGTAGTCCTCAGTGAGGTGCTTCTGCTGAGCCTCCTTCTTGGTCAGATCCAATTTGAACTGAGTTGTTTTGCCAACTCTTTCTCATGGTGACTGCTTAGCTCCAACAACTGCTTCCTGTTGGGGCACTAAGGTGCCTGGGGGGGGGCAGGCAAGGAGGGGCTGGGAGAGGAGGGGCGAGTAAAGGCCGGCGAGGCACCCCTTGACGTGAGTGACATTGAGTTGGCCACGCCCACCCAGTCACATGACCACCTAGCCACGCCCACCTAGCTGGTCATTAGGTAGATCATATTAGTGGTCCGCGGAATTTAAAATTATGAATTTAGTGGTCCCTGAGGTCCAAAAGGTTGGGGACCCCTGGTTTAGAGTACTGGGGGAATCTGGGAACATTGGATTAAAGTCCTTCTCATGTAGCTCATGGGATGCTTTGGCCAGATCAAAATCTCTGAGTACAGCCTACTAAATTACTCAGTAAATTGATATAAAGGATTAAAAACAATGGAATAGTACATCAAATTACTGAGGAGATTAAATCTAAATGTTTGGCTGAGTTCAGCTCTAAATCTGCATAATGTTGCCTGAGTTCAATTTGTCAGATTAAAGTATAAAGGTTTACACATTTATTTTCCTTCCTCAAAGGGAAGCAGAAGACTATATATATTTTAAATAATGTTTCCTATATAGATTGCTCTTTTGTGACAGCTAATATAAATACTGTTTGCGAAAGGATCACAACCATGATAATGCCCTGTAAAATTGTGTAATGTAAAATTGAATTACCCATTCCAGCTGCTCTGGAAGCAGCTTCTGATACAGAAAAGAAATCAGAAAAATTTCTGGAAGAAGATCCTTGAAGGGAGCACCCCATAAATACAAACCCCTCTTTTCTCTCTGGTTATCAAATTACTAAGTTGTACAAACTAGCAAGGCATTGATAACCCTACACATTCTTTAGAAAATATCTTTCATATGGTTTTCCTATTTCTTACTTATTAATAGGACAACATACAGAAATTAACAGGACAAAAAATGCAGAGAACTATAAACAAGAGAGACATATGCTAACTTCACAGAACAAATCAGAGCAAAGAATGGAGATGAAAAAGAAAGGATTCTTGGAAAACTTGAAAAGGTATTGTAATTTGTACCACTATGTTATTCCCTTAGAGTAGCCTTGACTAAAAAGATTTATGCATTCATTCGTAAACAAGGAAGTAAATAAAAAAGCATGAAGACATCTTGATTTTGGGACTGGAAAAGTATAGCAGCCAGTGGCTCTAATAAGATATTTAACTATACCATGGATAATAAGATATGTTAACTCTAAAATCCTTTGAGGCTGATAATTTAATGTTACAGGTTTTTGTGTGTACATGATATCACAATATTTATAAAAATATTAAAAGAAAAGAATTTCTCCCCAGAAATTCCCCCCCCCAAAATCATTTTAATAATGCAGTGACAGAATATATGGAAAGAGAGCCACACAAGGGTGGGGAACATAAACTGTAAAATGGGTATTCAAAGCCTTTCAATCATTGAGACATTTTTTTAAGACCAACCAAAATAACACAGAGGAGGCTGCAAGTTTTCTAGTTCAATAACACTAATTAGTTAACCCAGTTGTTTAAATGATACAGTTTACACCTGCAAGTCAATCCTGAGATGGAGTTTATGGATGGTATACTGAATTTATGTTAAATGTTGTTAATGGAATATAGTTAATCTTTCTTAGAATATTTTTAACATCCACTCCTCTAGAGCAGTGGTCCCCAACCTTTCTGGAACCAGGGATTGGTTTTGTTTAAGAAAAGGGTTTCCATGGACCGGAGGGAGCGGGGGAGGAGGACGATTTCACATGCAACCTAGATCCCTGAAAGAGGCGGTGGTAAGGCCTCTCCTCAAGAAGCCTTCCCTGGACCCGGCAGTATTGGCTAACTATCGTCCAGTCTCCAACCTTTGCTTCGTTGCGAAGGTTGTTGAGAGTGTGGTTGCGCGACAGCTACCCCAGTACCTGGATGAAGCGTCGTATCTAGATCCGTTCCAGTCGGGCTTCAGACCTGGGTACAGCACGGAAACGGCATTGGTCGCGTTGGTTGATGATCTCTGGAGGGCTCGGGACAGGGGTTGTTCCTCTGTCCTGGTCCTGTTAGATCTCTCAGCGGCTTTTGATACCATCGACCATGGTATCATGCTGCACCGGTTGGAAGGGTTGGGGGTGGGAGGCACCGTTTTACGGTGGTTCTCCTCCTTTCTCTCTGACCGGTCGCAGTCTGTGTTGACAGGGGGGCAGAGATCGACCCCGAGGCCCCTTATATGTGGGGTGCCGCAGGGATCGGTTCTCTCGCCCCTCCTGTTCAACATTTATGTAAAGCCGCTGGGCGAGATCATCCGTGGTTTCGGGGTGAAGTACCATCTGTACGCTGACGACACTCAGCTGTACATCTCCACCCCGGATCACCCCAACGATGCCCTTGAAGTGATGTCCCAGTGCCTGGAGGCCGTACGGATCTGGATGGGGAGAAACGGGCTCAGGCTCAACCCATCCAAGACCGAGTGGCTGTGGTTTCCGACGTCCCGATATAGTCAGCTGGTGCCATCGCTGGCTATTGGGGGTGAATCATTGACCCCCACGGAAAGGGCTCGTAACTTGGGCGTCCTCCTAGATTCACGGCTGTCTTTAGAAGAGCACTTGACGGCCGTGACCGGGAGGATTTTTCATCAGGTTCGCCTGATTCGCCAGTTGCGTCCCTTTCTGGATCGGGACTCGTTACGCACAGTCACTCATGCCCTCGTCACCTCTCGTCTGGACTATTGTAATGCTCTCTACATGAGGCTCCCCTTGAGGTGCACCCGGAGGCTCCAACTGGCGCAGAGTGCGGCCGCGCGGGTGGTTATGGGAGCAACATGGAGCTCCCACGTAACACCTCTCCTGCGCGAGCTGCACTGGCTCCCGGTGGTCTTCCGGGTGCGCTTCAAGGTTCTGGTTACCACCTTTAAAGCACTCCATGGCTTAGGACCTGGTTATCTACGGGACCGCCTACTACCACCAACAGCCTCCCACCGACCAGTACGCTCCCACAGAGAAGGGCTCCTCCAGGTGCCATCGGCCAAACAATGTCGGCTGTCGGCCCCTAGGGGGAGAGCCTTCTCTGTGGGGGCACCGACGATCTGGAATGAGCTCCCCCCAGAGATACGGAGGATCCCGGATCTGCGCACCTTCCGCCGCGAGTTGAAGACGCTTTTATTTCATCAAGCGGGCCTCGCCTAAATCTTCTCCCTTTTAAATGTAAATTTTAAATTTTTAATGTATTTTAAAATTAGGGGTATTTTAAATTACGGGTATTAATTCAGCCAAATTTATTTAATTCATTTTTATTCGATTTTAAATTTTGTATATTTATGTGTTTTATTTCATGGCTGTACACCGCCCTGAGTCCTTCGGGAGTAGGGCGGTATAGAAATTCGATAAATAAATAAATAAATGAATAAATCCCGCACATGCAAGATGAAGTTTCATTTGCATGCCCACCTCTTGTGTAACCCAGGTCCTAACAGGCCACGGACCAGTACTAAACCACAGCCTGGGGGGTTGGGGACCCCTGCTGTAGAGGAAGATTAATTTTTTTTTAAAAAAAAGAAGTTCATAACATGAATAGGCTGTAAATTCCTCTCCTCTACAAGAGCATAAAACTTTGTGTTGATTTAATAGTTATGTGATAGACAGGATTATACCTGTATAGTGGTGCAATAATCTTTATGTGTATATTGCAAGTTAAAGAATGAAGATGGGATGTGATTACAGAAGCTTTACAAGTACAAATATTCTTGTATGCAGTAAAACAGGCTGCCTTCTTGGAAATCTTTGTTTTTTAATGTTGTTGATGTTCTGTGTTGAGCAATGCTCTAAGTGTGATTTTTTTTTTGTCCCCTATCAGCGCTCTCTTTTCACTGTTTCTTTAATAAAATTGAAGGCAACAATCAAGCCTTTTGAGTCCCTTGTATAACTGCAAAGATAAGAGATGCCTCTTCAGGAATATAGAAATTCAAAAGAAAGGAGCTTCCTGTTTGACTTAATAGAATTATTTTAAAAACATTAAGATGCTTTAGGATCTCATATATGCATATTATTTATCTTATTATTTTAAATTGAAATGTTTAACATAAAATCAATAACTGAATCATTTAAAGTTTTTATTCAAATTATATTGTTAGTATTAAAATTATTTTAAAAAATAAACATTCAAATTCAGAGTTGCTCATTTTTAAGGACTTCTTGTTGAATTTTCATTGGTATAAACATACTTAAAATCACTGGCCATTCATATTACTCCACCTATACTAAGATATATATACAGTAGTACCTACATATCTGTGACACTCATCTCTTTAGGGATAGGTAACATTAAGCCAAAGGGTACAAAAGAAGTAAGAAATGGTAAGCCAAAGGATGACAAAAAAAAAAAGAAAGAAAGAAAGAAAAAAGATTTACATCAAACCATTTACTGTGCATCTCCATGTGTTTCTTTCATTAGAAAGCACTTAGGCTTTTGCTACTTCAGTCTATGATGAGACCTCAAGTTCAATTCTGTAGATTTCTGCATGAGAAGTGGTCTTTCATTAGTCCAAGGACTATAATATCAAAGCTCTTTCATATGTTTATATATATACATTTCTCATGAATGGCAAATGAAGAATCACCATCATATTGCATACATTTATTAAATTTTTAAAAAATCACTGCAAAACAGAGCTACTCTTTTCATCATTTTACTTTGCTTATTTATTTGGCAGCATTTTTCATTAACCAGAACACTAGTATTTGGTCTTATACTAGGGGATTCAAGTCACAGCCTTTCAAGTCACCTTTGATGGCCATCACAATAATTAGGAAAGAGGAAGTCTGGGTGTATATGTGTGTCTTTTGGTTACACCCAAAAAAAGCCCTATCTGAAAGGGTGGCTTAAATCAAGACTTGGGGTACAGCTGCTCTCTGAATGCCCTGCCTGGCTAGTTTCTTAAAGAGACTTAATGATTGGCCTTATTGAGATGATTGAGTAGCTGTGCTGCGTCTAGCAGGTACTCCTTTTGTTTGGACCTGGCAATGAGCTAGTGCTTTCCTTTACTTTCTCCTGGTCTCTGTAAGTCTGTCCCCATAGCAATTCTGTGTTTTGAGGTGGGGGTACTCCTTCCAAGTTAAGGGACATGTCCTTACTCTTTTATTCTGTTTTTTTATTCTTTTTATTCTTTTATTACTTTAATATTGCTGTGGAATACAAAAATAAGTTGGAGGGCTGGGCACAAGATGAGATTTTGAGATCCCTGAGACTTTCATTTCTGAAACTAAGCATTAGTAGATAGAATAGCTACGTAAAGTTTGTGTGTATGTTGTGCTTCGTTGGTCATGCCATGGTCTTTTGAGTAGTATACAGATGAGAGTCATAGCCCAACTAACCTTGAAGTTCTAAGATTAAAAATGCAACTACTTACCATTTACATACATACCAGTGACAAACACACACAGCCTTTAAGCTCCTGCTTCATTACTTAACTCAGTATTTCTCAAGCTTGGCAATTTTAAGATGCATGGACCAACTCCCAGCCAGTACAGCTGGGGAATTCTGGGAATTGAACTCTCCACATTTCAAAATTGCCAAGACTGAGAACCACTGCCCATATTCTACTATGGTAATGCAAAAAGGAACCATGAATGCATATACTAGCCTTGTTTTTCTATAATTGCTCAACCTCTGACCTATTTTGATAGTTGGCAAGAAGAATTAGTTGTATATTAACCTTTGGGGAGGGGGCTCATACAACAAGCACTGGCAATTGCTAATTATAGAGATCATTTTCAATGTTTTTTTTATTCTTACAACACTGATTTACTATATATTCCTACCACTTTCAAAACACCACTTTTATTCCATTCCTCTGTAGATGAGAACTTCTAGGCCACTGCAAATCTGTTTCCTCACAGAATGCTTTCTAACTATCTTTACTTTTAAAAAGTAGCTATGTGGTCAGAGCATCTAACATGAGAAAATAAAACACCATCTTCACCATGGCTAAAAATTGTGATTTAATGATATAAATTAATAGACTAGTTCTCCAGTAGAGAAGACTCCAATCTTTTTCTTAAGATAGAAATTTATTTTTTTTAAAAAAACCCACTCTGGAATTACTGAAGAATTGTACTGCAATCTTCATTTCAGGGGCGTGCTTGAAAACCCCCCCACAAAATAGCCTTTCCTGCTACTTTGTACAGCATAACCAGTTCTTTTCCTATGAGAAGTTCTCTGTTGCTCTCTACTGGCTCAGGTTATACATTTACAAAGAACAGCAGCATCATGACATCCTGGGAGTAGGAATAATAAAACACTTTATATTCTTTTCCTAGAAAAACTAAATTTGCAAGTGTTGATCTTTGAAGAAAATGCTTCACCTAAATGAATAATGACATAGTAAGTTCAATATTTTGTGACTTCTAGTCACGAATTAGGTATTAAAGAGTGGCTGGGTGACTTTGGACCAGTCTCTCTCTCTCAGCCCAACCCACCTCACAGGGTTGTTGTTGCAGGAAAAATAGGAGGGAGGAAAGAGTATTGGGTATGATACCACTTGGAGATATTTAAAAATAATAAAGATGCTACGATATAAATAAATAAATAAATTTTGCTAGAAGTGCATATTTTGTAGTCTACATGGAATTCCAATCTGGAGCTGTAGTTGCTGTGATGCAAAATTGGATGCTTAATCCTTAGTTCGTCCAGGAGAAGCCTAATTTGTAATTATGATCATGCCCCGTCCCCCCATTCATTAAATTAGACATTACAGAATTTATACCTTTTCCTTCTATTCCATGCTGCTTTTTTTAAATCAAGTTTTTTTATTTTATATTACATACACATATCAATGTGTGAACAGTGTGATACCTGGGTGCCGTACACTACAGTACAGATAAAATAGTATTATTGATCGTACGTAGTTATCACATTCATCCAGCTTATATATTTCTAGTAGTAATACACATCTATATCAAATTATAATCTTTCATTATTTCATATTGTTTAAACATACATAATACTACCACCATTCAGTTTCTAAATCTCCCTCTTATCCTTGCACTTGTCTTATTTTATGAAAATGTGTCTACTAATATTCTCCCTTTCTCTTATTTTTTATTCTAACTTTTATTAATATCACCATTATATTAAAAGACATTCCCTTTGTATTACAATACTATCCTTCATTATTTCATTGTTCAATATTTAAATATACAATTCTAATACCAATCACAATATTATTTAAACATGCAAATTAATTCTATTCATATCTTTACATTCTTCCAATCTATATGATTCCACTATTAATACACCTGTTTATATTAAAATACGTTCTTTCATCATTTTATTACTCATTATTTCATTTTATTATTCCACTGCAAATCATCATATTATTTAAATAAACTCAATACCATTATTTAATCTCTAATTTCCCATTTTTAATACTTAGTTCTTATTCTTTTTTCCCATATTTCACTCTTCGAATCTATTTATATTAAAATACTATCCTTCACTGTTTCATTATTCAATATTTCAATATACTAATCTAATGCCAATCATGATGTTATTTAAACACACAAAATAACTCTATTCATATTCTTTGCTTTCATTCAATCTATATAATTCTAATATTAATACACATGCTTATATTAAAATATGTTCTTTTCATTATTTAATTGCTTAATGTCTACCAATCACAATGTTATTTAAACTTACTTAGTAATTCCATCATTCAATCTCTAATTTTCCCATTTTATTATTACTTTTGTTTCATCATAAAGGTAGATATTACTTGTATATATACAAGTAATCCCTCAATCTCTTATTGAACACATTACTATCTGTTCTAATTTCTTCTCCTGCCACCATTATAAAAAAAGGAAAGAAAAAGAATTTTTTTCTTTCTTCTTTTTCTATTTGCCTTCTATCCATCATCTCTTGCCCACATCAATACTTTAATTCTTATTCTTTTTTTAACTTGCCTCCCATATTCTTCTCTTAAATCTTTATCTCTGTCTGTATCTGTGTCTACATCCTGCCTAGTCAATCTAAGTGTTTCTCCCATCCCTACCCTCTTCCACTGTCTAGCTTTGAAATTATCAGCCCGGACCCCTGTCTCCCTTCCCCAAGTATCTTCCTGCTCTTCCCATTCTCTTCAGATCTCTTAGAATGTTTTCCCCCGGTTTGATTCATCAAACATTATTAATTTTATTGATGACTCCTCGTTATCTACTTTTCATTGATTCCTCAATTCTGTTTTTCCCTCTATTCCTTTTGGTAGCTCCTTTCTTTCCAGGGCATCTTGGTCATTGCTCATTGTCCTTTGTATAATGTTTTCCAATTTTTGATCTATTCTATCCATTAATTCCATAATTGCCTTATGTTCTTTCTGTATCATATCCTTTATGCTTTGAAACACTCAGTCCATCTTGTTCAAAGTTCTGCTTGTTTACTGCTTATGTTGCATCTTATCTTGTTTTAATAAATTCCTCTTTTGGCCAATAGCCCAAGAACCATTTGTTCAAACCTGAGGATTACTCTTCAAAGTATACACTAATCACAGTTCTTTATGTTTCATAAGTAGTCAGTCAGTTCCATTTATATAGTCCAGGGAGTTATCCAAGCCTCTTTAAGTCACCTTTATAGATTCAGTCATATAATTTAACACACAGAGGTCACTTTAATTAAGTGTCCGTGTTCCCACATTTAAATCTCCAGTGGTCATAGGGTAGATGTATATAATCCAGTAAAGTCCTTTAAATGGGTATTCCCAGGTTTGTATACTTTCACCAGCAGGTGGCACTCTCAGCTTAATTTTCAATATTATTACTAAAAATCAGGTTTTAATTATTTTAAATTGTAATTCAATTATAGAAACTGTTAATTTTTTAAATCCATAATTCCAGCATTTTAAATTGCCTCCCCAATGTCATGACTTCCCAATTTGAGAGTCCAATTTCCTACGTTTTGAAGAACTTTTTTCTCTCTCTTTAATACTTTCCTTCCGGTCTGGTAGTTTTCTCAAAGTGGTTGATCGCCGCTTTAACAGAAAGTTCTGAGTAAATCCTAGATTTCTCTTTTGGGGTTAACTTTCAGGTTTAAAAAAAGGTCCTCTCACCCAGTTCCACACTGTTCACCAAATCCGCTCCAGCTCAAAGCTTAGATGGTCATTGGCTGTCCCAG